CCCCCCAGTTTGCAAGAAAATGGTTGGAAAAATACCAGAAGGTGTTTTATCACTTATTGTTTTTACAAATTGAGGCACTCTGGCTATAAAAACATCTTGAGTGCAAAAATAATGGTTATAAATGGTTTAAAATTTTTATTTTGCATTAAAAAAATAACCAGAGTGGAAGAAAAAAATGGTGGCAAAAAAACAATCCAGGGTGCAAAAAAAATTCCTGTGGAGCGCAGAAAATAAACCCTTGTGGTTCAAAATCACCATTCTGAGGTGTAAAAAACAGCTCAGTCTGGGCTTCAGAGCACCCTGAGGTGCCAAAATCCTCGTTTTGGGGTGGAACAAAAAGAAATTTGGGGTTTTTTTGGCCTTTGCAGGGAGGATTTCTTCCTGCTGGCCCATCACTCGCGGCAGGGCTGCAGCGTCCCCACGCGCTACATCTGCATGTGGAACACGGCCAACCTCAGCTCCGAGCACCTCCAGAGGTAAAGGGGGGCCCTGGCACCCCAAAATCCTGCCTGGGGAGTGGGGGAGACCCTGAAATCATCCAGGGAAAGGAGAAGGAGTCACTGGGTTCCTGTGATCCTGCAGCACCCCAAAATCCTCCAGAGGGAAGGGGAGAGACCCTCAAAATCATCCAGGGGAAATGCAGAAATCCCAGAGTACAGCACCCCAAAATCCACTTTGGGGGGAGTGGGAGAGACCCCCAAAATCCTCTTTGGGGAGTGGGAGAGATCCTCAAAATCCACTTTGAGGAGTGGGAGAGACCCTCAAAATCCATTTTGGGGTGAGTGGGAGAGACCCTCAAAATCTTCCAGGGAAAATGCCAGGAGTTCCATAGCCCCCCAAAATCCTCCAGAGGGAAGGGGAGAGACCCTCAAAATCATCCAGGGGAAATGCAGAAATCCCAGAGTTCCTGAGATGCTGCAGCACCCCAAAATCCACTTTGGGGAGTGGGAGAGACCCCCAAAATCCACTTTGGAGACTGGGAGAGACCCTCAAAATCCTCTTTGGGGAGTGGGAGAGACCCTCAAAATCCCCTTTGGGGAGTGGGAGAGACCCTTAAAATCATCCAGGGGAAGGAGCAGGAGTCCCAGAGTTCCTGAGATCCCCAAAATCCTCTCTGGGGAGTGGGAGAGACCCTCAAAATCTTCCAGGGAAAATGCCAGGAGTTCCATAGCCCCCCAAAATATTGCAGAGGGAATGGGAGAGACCCTCAAAATCATCCAGGGGAAATGCAGAAATCCCAGAGTACAGCACCCCAAAATCC